CACGCGCGCGCGCACGGGTTACCGGAAGTCGAGTGACCGTAGCTCTCGGCCCAGGTGAGCTGGATTACTCGATTGGCCGCGCGGGGGGGAGGGAGAGGGAGACAAAGGGGGGTGAAGCTCTTCTCTGACCGCGCAGAGCGCAATCCTTCGTTGTTGCGCTCACGCGAGAGGGCTGCGCGAGGTGAAGCGGGCGCGGCTCTTTCTTTGTCGTCGTCGTCGTCGTCGTCGTTGTGGCGCGCTTCTCGTCTACTCTTCCTGCGCGTAAATGTGGATTTCCCGCGCGGGAAGTGAAGTATTATATTATCTCGCCCGAGTCATCGGGTGCTCGTGTCTCCTCTGGAGCTTCGAGAGATTACGCGGGGATACGTAAACCGGCGGAACAATCGAACACGAAAGCTCGCTCAAGAGTCAAAGCGCTGGAGCGGCGATAATTTCTTGTTTTTTTTTTGTTTTTTTTCTCGCACACGGTTGTGTCATTACGAGACGCGCGTGTATGAATGAAAACACACACGATATACGTCTCTTTCTCTCTAAACTCTACGTTTGAGAGTTACTACTACGTTTAATTGCTCTCTTTCGCTTCCCCGCTAACGAGCGTCCAGCAAAACTCGCGAGCGTCTCATGCGGCCGACTTGGTGGCGCATTATTCTCTCCTCACAAGTATGTCCAAGGCGAAATAAGAAAAAGGATATGGGACGAGAGAAGAGAGAAAAGACGGGGGGAGAATGAGAAGTACGTAAACGACAAAGTGAGAGAGAGAGAGAGAGAGAGAAACTCTGCGTAAAGGAAATGACGTTGACGCGTGTGTCTTTCTGGCGAGTCGAGCACCCGGCTCCGACACCGCCACGACCATCACCACCTTTTCCAACACCGTGGAAAGGAACACGGCGATATATCTCCCTTCCTTACGCTCCTTCGCTACCTTACAAGTTTACGCGTTCTCACGCTCTCCATCCCGCTTCTCCTTCTCGCTCGCGACTATACACCTCGCCGTCGTTTCCAACGGTGAGCGTAATACACGCTCCGATAAAATGTTCCACACGTATCTGCACGCACATACACATGCGCACGCATGCGAGTGCGCGCGCGCAAGCAAACACACAGCGATCGCCGAGATTACGAGGTAAGGCTTCGAAGAGGGAGAAAGAGTGAGAGAGCACATCAGCTTCCTAGTTATAATAAACGCCGCAAAAAATGTGGCAAAAACCTGCTCAGCCTTCGGCGAGTATATACCAGCAACGGGTCGGCTTCTGGCTCTCTTTCTCTCCCTCTTTCTCTCTATATCGCTATCTATTGGTATATTCCTTTTGTTCCTGCACATCCTCTCTTCTCTCGGACTCTGCGCTGTGTCTTTTACCTCTTCGTCCTGTTGTGCTACTCTCCTCCTCCCCCTCCTCCTCTTCCCCTCGCTATCCTCTGCTTCTTCTCGATCACCGTAGGTGTTACCAGACAACAACCTGTATACCGGGGCCAACTTCCTTCCTGCGGTTGTCCTTTTCCTGTTCGCATCCTTCGCTCTCTGTCGGGTAAACCCGCCCCCTTCGGCGCTCCAACCCTCTTCGCCTCGCTCTTGTCTTATCCCATCGCCGTTATCTATCTCTCCTCGCTTCTTCCTCTTGTCTTCTCCCCCAACGGCGCATCCTCCGGCTCCTCACGGCTGTCCGTCACGTTCTTTTACTCGCTTCCCACAACGTCGTATTGTTATTATTTCTTCTTCGGCTATCGTGTGCCTAAGTCCTGCTTGCCCCTTCCCCCCTCCCCTCTCTTTCCTGCGAGCTATAACCCGCGCGATGACGCAACGCGCTTTTATCAATTTCCGCGACGCTAATCGGCAGTAATGATTTTCTTCGCGTCGCGACTTCCGGGTTTCTTGACGTGCTCTTCCAGCGCGCATCACCTCGCTCTTATATGTCGGGATTGTGAATGAGGAGCCGGACAAGGTTCTTCGTACGATCGCTAATTACATCACCGGATCGAGCGAGCGCGATACGCTTGTTCAACGATCGAGGCTGATTCATTGAACTTTTCAGACTGTTGATTGGACACCACCAAGTGTGGCGAAAATAATAATCGGTTCGGTTTTTTTTTTAACTTCTGCAACACGGACTGAACGAGAATTGCGCGTCATCTATGCCTATGGTAGAGTTCACGAGATCTCGAGGGAAGAGAATTTTCAATTTCGATTCGCGTAATTAACAAGAATAAAAAATAGATTTGACTTGCGAACTGAGAATTTAAAAAAAAATCGATATTGCAAAACACTGAACAAAAATGGAGAAAACGTTATCTTCATTCTTTAAAAGTCGCGTTTAAACCCAATCATCGAATCGTGTAAAAGTCGATTTATCGAGACGTAACTCGCGCAATGCAATCGCGCGGTTACGAGGAGAAAAAGAGATTTACGGTGCATCATTCGCTCGCTTCGTACTCAAGTCGGAGCGCGAGAAACAGCGTAAAACACGTTAGCTCGCGAGTCGCAAATAGAGTGGCCGCTCCGGGAACCGAGAGAAGTGAACGTCTGTTTGATTGCGTTTGACGGTGTCGGTGCGAGAGAGCTTTATGAATGGTCCCGCGCGGATCGCAGCCGGAAACGTCCAGCCGCGCGCGGAGGAAACTCATGCCCGCGAGCGACGAGTTTTTCATCAATCACACGCACGACATCCTTCGACGGGGCAACGAGCCTCTCCGGACGACGACGACGACGACGACGACGACGACCGAGGAAAGTTGGTGGAAACAGTGTTTGCGTTAGCAACACGCGTAATTACCACCTTCGCTGCCTTTTTATCGTCGATTATTTCGCCGACGATGGGAGGCCGTAAAGCGCTCGCGACATCCGCGTTTCTAAACGACACGCCGCTAAAAACTTGACTCGCGCTCGACAATTATCGTCGCTTTTGTTTGCGCGTTGAAACTACGCGACAGATTCCCGGGGAAGGGAGTCTTGTTAGGTTTGTTTGCGTAGACGGTGTGATTTTAAACGAGTCTCACTTCGGAGGAAGGAAATTTTATGGAGATTTTATTGTGTACGATTTATATGCAAGTAGGTTTTAAAATTCTTTTCTTTTGTAAGTAACGCGAGGAACGTTCATTACTGGCGTTAATGGCTAACCAAATGAGCGCATTTTATTTCTCAGCATTCCGTCGACGTTTTTTTTTCGAACGACATTGGAAATGGTCTTTTTTAAATCCGAGTGTTGTATAATTTTTGTGTAAGAAAATTACGCGTCACGTTACATTGAAAATAATATGAATAATAATATTATACGCAACATTTTTGCCGTCGATATCGAGAGACGATATCTTCGACGAGCGATTTCTCGGACCCTATATATCCCGCGTGCAAGATTCATCGGTAATCATATCGTGGCGCGCACAAGTACGCACTTTGTTCCGAAGGTCATCACGGTCGGTAAAAGACGAACAGATCCAAGTCGTCCTACTATCGCACAACGTGTATATGAAAGGACACGCAGAAACTGCAGTAGTTTATTCTCAGCGAAACGCCGCGACTCGTTTCTTCATCCAACGTGACGTCAACATTACGAAAACGACAACGACGACGACGACGACGACGATGACGACGGATGGCGGGCGTCGAACGAGCGGAAAAGAGATCAGATCCGAGCGCGCAGCGCTCGCAAGAGAAGGAGGAGGAGGAGGTGGGAGTCTCTCGGGACGGTCGAGGTGAGCTACCAGTTAAAGCGTGCGGCTCGGGCATGAATGAACGAACCGGCGGCAAACCGAATGAAGGAAGAAACGAACGGCGCGGCGAATCTGCACCGCTCGTGCGTTAGCCAATTCGCGTATTTACTCGCGCGCGTCGTGTCGCTCGGGATCGTCGATCGTCTACGTTAATAAACGAACACAACTCGTTCGTCTCTGAGGTGATCGAATGAGAGAAAGATGGGACGAGAAAGAGAGAGATAACGCGTGCGGGCGCGCGCGCGCGCGCTGTTCGTAGACTTTATAGTGCGCGCCGACGCCAGTGTGTTAGTTAGCCGCGTGACGGGATAGTATTCATTCATAAAACTCGGCAGCGAGAGCGGAGGAGTGAGGGTCAGGCCTGCGCCCGCCGTCGCGCTGGTGGGGAGTCAAGTGTTTTTCGTCTCCCTCTCGCGTATCCCTTCCAGTTCCGTTGTCCGTCTCGCTCGTTCTTCCCGTCCTCGCGCTCGCTCCCGCGTACGTTTTAGATTTTCTCTCCTTTTTTTTTTTTTTTCTCTCTTCGTCTCTTTGTCTCTCTTTCCTCATCGCTCCGTTAATTCTACCTGGGTATATCTTCCACACGGATGATCCCCTCACCGCTCGCGTTACGTATATGCCTCCTCCTTCGCGATCTCACGTCGCTCGCTTTTTATTATTCCTGTAAAATAGCTCGGTCAGTCGTGTGTGTATTTTTGGCTTGTATTTCTGTTCGCGCGTCTCTCTTCCCTCCTCCGAATACTCGTTCCCTTTTCTTTTCCTCTTTTTCATTCAGAAAATATCGCCGTTCTGTCGCAACGTTTGTTTCTTCCACGAGGAATATTATTCCCGCGGATTTCTTTGTTTTTTCGCAAAATTCGATTTTTTTCTCAAGTTCTGTTTGTCCCTTTGTCTTTTTTCTCCTCGACCTCGCCGTCCGTGATCACGCTTTTGCTGTAATAAACCGAGGTCTCTCCTGCATTTTTCATTCGAGATCCAGACGCGACAATTACAATTGTTTTTTTCTTTTTTCCTGACTTTCTACAATACTCGCCTTTTTCCGATCGAAGTTGAAGTCGTCGAATTTCCGATACACGCGATACGGCGTAACCATCACCTTCTACTCTCGAGGAACCTTCAAGATACTCCCTTCCTCGCGCACCGTCTCTCCCTTCTTTTCCTCTTTTCTCATCTGCCTGTTTCTCCTCGTCTTCTTCTTCTTCTTCTTCTTCTCAGTTTCTGCCCTCGTATCTCTCTCACGCTCTCCCTCTTTCTCATCGGTTCCAGCTCTCTTTCTCCGGTGCGGTGTACGCACTTACCTGCGGAACGCGGTCGTACGCGGCCGACCGACGGTGGCGCTTCGGCTTTAAACGAACTCTCCGGTGGCGCCGAAGGAAGGAAAGATCGTCTCGCGGTCGGGATCGCCTCGATTCGCCGCGATACTACACACACGGTCCCGAGTTCGAATGGGGAGAGCGCGTTCGAACGTCGCCGCGCGATGCGTTCGTTCTCTCCGTTCCGCGCCACAATTTCTTAGCCGAGCGTGTGCGGGAATCGTTACATCGTCGTTTTATTTTTTTCAAATGTCGCGCGATCTTTGAGGAGGACCGTCGCGCACGCAACGCGAGCGTTGAAACCGCACACGGGGGAGGCGAAGAACGTCTCGCGCGAACCGCGCGAACGCTCGACTGAGGAGAAGAAACTTCGAGACGAGAAGCGCCGCGAGGAGAGAAGAGAAGAGAAGAAGAAGAAGAAACAGGGCAAATCCATCAGCAACAGAGACCGGGACGACGATTCATATATTTTCGGACTCTCTCTTTCGGCTCCGCTTCCTCTCTTCCGTCGATTCAGGTTCCAACTCGCCTCCACCCTCCCCACCGACGCGCTGCGCCCTCCTCGTTTCAAAGCCAGGAGCGGTTGCGCAAGCAAGGTATTCGGAAATAACCCGGTGGGTCGCAGTTATGAATTGATAGCAAACACATGGTGGACACGCCGTGAGCCCGCCGCACAGCCAGTGCGCCTTCCGGTCTCTTCGGCTTCTCTCTCGGCTTCTCCTCTTCTCGCAACGTGACCGCCGCTTCGCGACGGCCTCTCTCGTCGTCATTGACAGGTCGGGACATTGTCGGTGTCCGGTTGCCGCGCGTGTAACGCGCGTAATAATTGCACGTGTGACGTTCGATGGCACTGACAAACATTGTTATTGTTGTTACGACCGACGACGCTTGTACTTCGCGAAAAGTGTGTTCGAACAACGTGATTTCTTTCGCGACACTTATACGTGAGGCTGACTGTGCGATAAAAACTGTGTTTTTGGTTCGACGCACAGAAGGAGGGATGCAATATGGGATAGAACAGGAAAGAGTTTTCTCGGCATAAAAATCCGCGTCGAGACGATGAGGATTCGCGACGAGGATCGACATGTAATTGCCGATCGAGTTTTGTTGTTGTCACACGGGTGGGACCGAGTCGGGTTCCGCGGCGACAAACCGAGTATCTCTTCGATCATACTGAGTGATACGCAACTGTGAGAGAGAATCTTTCTCTATCGAATAGTGTGTGAAACTCACGTGCGAGTACACACGTGATCCAAAAAAAAAAAAAAAAACCAGTACGAATGACAACTCCGGACTACGTGCATGTGCAGTGATTACACAAGTTTGGCACTCATGTACGTTGATTACGGCGGCGACACTTATGCCGGAATGGGAATCAAGGCCATGAAGTCCTTTGGCAGGTCCAGAGGTAGGAAAAGCGGATTGTTGTACAAAACGATTAACCGTGGTTTTACGTTGTTGTGATGAGACGTAATGAAGCGTAGAAACATGTTAAGTGTGAATTAAATTTGATTTCGTAAGAGCTAAGGCAGTCGTAAAAATTTCACGCAGTTTCCCTGTCATAGACCCGGGAACAGTTAATATTTTTTATCTCGCTCAACATTCGAAACTTGAACGTCAATTATCGACGACTTACGAACGCGATCGCGCGCGTAATCTGGACTGGATTAAAAAGAAAACAATCTTTTTACAAGCGCAACTCTCGATAGATTTGTCCTAATGCGATTTGAGATGTTCTTCACGATATTTTTCACGCGATTGTAGTCGGGGGGATGATCTCTCGTGCTCGAGTCTCGAGCTCGGTCACACTGCGCGAGCGCGTGTCTCGCTTCCGGTGGACGAAAATTAACCCTGACTTTGACATTGGAGACGCCATAATCGTGCCAACATGATTAACGCGAACGTGACTTAGTTTCCGACAGATTGTAACAGATGTCATCGACGTCGGTCGTGCGCCGAGCGTAATCCGTACCGCTTCTCGTATTATAACACACATGCGCTTCCTGCAGTTGGGAGGGCTCGTTCACGGGGATATATGTTCACATACATCTCTTGGTTGTATTATAATAATTGGAAAATGCATCTACATAAATTTATTAAAGAAACAATTATTAGACACGTAAATATTAATCGTATATAACAATTCTCAATGTTTTGAATATTTTTTACAATTTTTAATTTCTAACTTTACATATGTAAATACTTTGTTGCAATTTGTTTTTTTTTTTTTTTTAATAAATTTTCTGATAATTTTCAGGTCATTGTGACATTTAGCGACTGATTTTCATTCCGTTTATTTTTCTCAAGTAGCGACTCGAACAAAGTGCGAGAAGAACTTGTATTCTAATTAATTTTTTGACTTTGTATTTGATTAGATATGAGTTTTGTCGAATTTTTAACGAATGCTCTAAATATTTTTTTTATTTTCCGATGTTTTATTAAAATACGCGGACAAATACCAAAAAATCCTGTTCGCGAGTTCATCCTTGAGTCCTGCGCGCACGGTTTACCTATACGACCCCTATGCGCGCGATCTCTTTATAAGTAGGGGATCTGTCGGAGCGAAGTAGCTGCTGCTGCTGCTGCTGCTGCTGCTATTCGACGATACTTCCTGGCAACCGGTTTTCGCGGCAACCGCTTGATCCGTTTTCTTCGTTGCAAGTAGAGCTCTTACTATTCAAGGCATTTCTGGCATTCGTATATTGGATTAATATTGACAACGCTCGCCGTGGAAAACGAGCGACCGCACCGCAATACGCGCTGAACAACTCCGCGATTCGATCAAGTTCGCAGGAAAGCGCGTAACGCGAACGGGATAATGCGGATTACACATCTGGTGTCGCAAAAAAAAAATCGATTTGCCCGAGATTAAATTTTTTTCTCTTCGATAATTTTCACGTAACTTTTGAGACGCGCGAGAGTGTGCACGCGTAGAAATAAATAACTTACAATTCGAGAATTTACATGTTAATGTTTCTTGTTAACAGATCAAATTCCTATTGTGCGTGTCCTTTCACTTCTGCGTTTATTACGTCGGAATGTCTTCAGGAGACTCGTTTTTTTTTTTTTTATTCGCGCGCGATCATGTAAATATTTTTAGCATTTCGAAAAACACGACGACGATAGTTAGTCGAGCAAACAGAGAGAATCGATCAACACAACAGTTTGTTGAACAACGTTTTGTAACAACAGTCGCGTTCTCGCGCAATTAACGAAATTTCCTCATCCTGTTGTCTAATCGTCAATTTTTTTCGCACTCGATTATCATCAGGAGAAGCGGATGATTTATAACGGGCAAAACCCCACAATATTCATATTTGTTGTGTGCTATTAAAATTATTTACGAAAGTGTCATTACGTTACTTAAATTACTAGCAATTACGCGCGCAATGAGAAAGCAAAGACGCCACGACGCGCCGAAGCATAATGGAGGATACAACACAACGTAGTATTTCAATAATTCATTTCGTGGAAGTATAGCGGAATTACATAGAGACGGTGATTCTAAACTTTCATTGTCAGTGCAATGACATAAGCATTACATCGCGATGCGCCGCAACTTTCGACTGACACGCGCGTACGAACGCAGATATCGCGCACGTGTATTAGAAAACAAGTCATTTGTCTTCGGTATTACGTCAAGTTGATCATTTGTCATGAAGAGTTTATAGGGAAATTAGCGATTCAATTTTTTTTTTTTTTTTTTTTACTGAAATCTAAAAGAAATCGCATACGCGCGTGCGTCGTTCTCGCCGAATTCTTTCGCGAACACGAAATTAAATTTTTGTGCTCGTTTAGGTTTTTCTCTGCAAATTTTATTTAATGTAGTTTTCAAGTTTTGTATCCGTTACCGGATGCGACGTATAAATCAATTTGCGTTTTCGCGTTTCGAAAGCGCGCAATAAAACCGAATAATTTATTTCTTTTTGTTGATCTCGCAATTTTCCGAAATTACGCGATTACGCAACAAAATCTGCGCAATGAAAATCCCTCGGTGTAATGGGGAAAATTATTCGTGGCTCATATCGAGCTAAAAACGTGCGAGAGACCATAAAATGAGATGTTACACACATCCAAACTGCCCCCCTTCTATTAATATCCGCGCGTATTTCAAAGTCAGTCAATCATATCCGAACCTGATTACCTCGGGCAATTTCGTATCGATCCAGCTGCGATCGTTGGCAACTATTCGCGGATTTCAATTTTGCGAACCGCACGCGCCGATTGTTCCATTCGCGTGATACGCGTTCCTTTTTATTTTTTTTATTCTCGCAAATACATTCTCGTCGTAATTTATCACGTTAGACGCAATTTTCGTATCGATGCATTTTTTTTTTCGCAAAATCAAATTGTTCTACTTCGAAAATTTTAGAAAAAACGTCACTCAACGATCGGACATGTAACAGTGGCCGAACATTTGTTGAAGAAATGATTAAACAAGAAAATATTAATTTTTGTTTTCGACTGGTTATCTGATTATTTGCAAATATTCAGGCTGATTATGTGGTTATATCTCACATCTGGTGGAAGATGTGCCGCGACCAACTGCAGAAACGTTATCTCGGTTCCGGTTTCAAAATGACGGCTGTTTAGCTCCTTCAAACACTCGATAAGATCCGATATCTAAAGTGCGTTCAAAGTGGCGCACTTTCTCTCATTTGTGGATAGAAAAGTCGAGAAAAGAACATCTTTTTGTATTTCTAAACGTAAATAAATTGTTGCGACCTTTGCACGGTCGATCGTTCAATCGGGAGAGATAACCGCAAAGAACAGAGACAACAATGGCGCGTTTCGCGATTGCGATCTAAAGTCTGAATTTTTTTTTCTTTTTTTTTTTGACATGCAAATTTGTCCCGATCGGTTCCGCGCGCGGATATAAATTCACATTTCCCAATTTGAAACGGAACGCCGGACGTACAACAAAACTTGAATGTTGCGATATATCGCCGCGCGTTGCTCTTACAATGCTACAGAGCGCGGTCTTACATATATATTGGTTTTATTGTTGATTTCACGCGGCGTCGATGTTGCATCGGGTCTTTTGTATTGGTTTTATACGACTTTCACACGTAATCGGGAATCACACGTGCGGTTGTTACATTGCGATTCGCGCGGTGGCGATGCGTTTCGCGCGGCGTGATTTTTCCAAGGGAAAAAAAAAATACCGCAACAAGAACCCGGCCGATACCAACGGATCCGCGATAATTATGGTGCGCGCGTTATCTGTCAGAGCAGGGAGAGGAGTGACTAATCAGCCACGGGACGCGGTTAATTGGTTCGCGGTTTATATACGATGCTCGGTGATGGACGCGCGCGTGTGTACGCACGTACACACGTACGCGTGCACGCTTGCTTGCTTTAACCAATCCGTCGACACCGTCCCAGGAAGTCGAGGCCCATCATCATGGCCCACGTGATTATTATTTTCTTCCTTATCTCAGTGAAACACGCCATGATAAGAGAATCTAAACCGATACCACTGTGTGATTAATATAAAAACGTTTACTGATGATTGATGAAATGAATTCATTGGGATAGAACCATTACGGGGAAAAAAAGAGTTTATCGGCAAGAAGATTTAATTACTTCGTGGCAAGAAAAGTTGGAACTTTGTCATCTGTGGAATTTTTTTTTTTTCAACAAAAACACGAAACAATTTGAGAGTAGACTCTGCAAATTTTCTTGTCTGATCACGCAAAACTCGTTTTTCCGTGACATACTGAATACAAAGTTTTTTCTCCAGAGATTGAAAAACGATTTAGCATTATTCGCGCACAGGACCGGTTCTAACTGGAGCTCGGAAAATCCGGGTGTATTCGATCGATCGACCATTTTTTTCTTTTTTTTTTTTTTTTCTTTCTTTTTTTTTGGATTAGAAACCGGTCTTGCGAGTGATGTTCCACGGGCAATGTCCACGGGAACGGAAATCTTCCTCCCTCTCTTCGGATTGTCCCGGAGCTTTGGTAAAACGCTCTTCGCAAGATTTGTTGCGAGTGTCACGAATTAATCGCAAACAGCACGGAAGAGGGGACTTGAAGTCGCTCGTGTTATTAAGCCGAGTCTTGGACTTGCTCAGAAAAAACTTCGATTATCTCTCTTGAAAAAATATCTGTTGAATATTCATGTGGAAAATATGTAACATACATGTTGGAGATAAATATAAGTTTTATCACTTATCGGTGTTCTTTAAACAAAAACAGACCAAACTTAACGATATTCTGATAGTTTGGATAATTTTTTTAGATTTAATTTTAAATGTGTTATTTTAAAAAGGGAAAATTCTCAAGCTGACGACTCATCAGCGATTAACAAATTATCGAACTTATTCCGACGCGAGTGTCGCTTTTCGTGGGAGACACGCGCGCGTTTGAAAATTGAAATTAATTGACGCGAGTAACGAGTGGCAAATTGCGCGCGAAGATTACTTACGGCTAATTATGGAATGCGCTTTCGTGTTATCGCAGCGAAACACGCGGTTTCGCGATAATCGTCGGTTAACAATGACGCGCTACTTGCTCGTTACCATCGCGCCGCGGCACGCTATCAACCACCGCTTTACAACAAGGACTCCTTCCTTCTCCCTCGGTCCTGGGCGATTTATCAGCGTCGCGGCGAAACCAACTGTTTCGCGATTGCGATATCCCGCCTGGGGGATTACCATCGCGCAGTACTCTCTCCTGGAATTTTTCAGTGCCCCAATGGGCTGTGATAATCTCAGTCTGTCCGTCCACCCGCCCGCCCGCCCGCCCATGATAATACGCGGTTGCGATAACGTATCCCGAATCGCGCGCTATCAACCCGAAACACAAAGTGTTTTGTTTTCAACGCAATTGCCGCGCATTTAATACGTTATAACGTGTGATTTTATTGACGTACACGTTACACCTAACTCGATTCAGAAAAAAATAACGTGCATATTTTATATTATTAATTTGCGTTAATTATATTTTATATACATCAATTACACGCGACGTGAAGATTTCGCCGCAAAAATGCGCGCGCATTGTTTGCCGCCGCCGGCAGACGGGCGATTAGATATACGACTTTTAAAACGCCGCGTGCAAATAACGCGTAACGATTCGCTCGCGTCGCAATTTGTTGTTGCACACACGCAACAACTCGCGGGAGGAGACGAAGATTTTTCTGTTTGCTTCCCTCCCGAGGGCTTCTTACGAGCGGGATGAATGGCCTTTACCGGCCTAGTCACGCCGCGATGCGATGGGATGCGAAACCGACGCGAACGGGTCCGAGCCACCGACCCGGAGAGAGCAACAGGTGTACACCGCAGAAAGGAGGCGCGGGCACACGTTGATACCAACACGTGCTTCTTGCGCGCTCTCGGACTCGGCATATAAGTAGTTCAGTTTCAGCGCGACGTGCAAGCATACCCTAGAGGCAGTACCACTTTGTGGTTTCCATGATGATAATTTTGCGTTCAGATTTTCAACGTATAGCGTGTCGCACAAACAAGATTTCAGTAGATTTCAAAAACGTCGAAATAAATAAACCACTCGCTTAATAACAAATTTGCATGGGATAAAAAACAACGGACAAATTTTTGAAGACGCACTTCTCTTGCGCGCGCAATGCGCGCACGGAACAGCTGCCGCAGTTGTTTGGTTGCCGAGTATTCCCGAGGCGTCGAGGGAAAAGAGGGATAAGACGCTTGGCAGCACGTGCCTCTTGCGCCGGTTTACGCTCGTGAAGGTTACACACACTCATCCCGTTGTGTTCCAGATGGACAAGAGAGAGAGAAAGAGAGAGAGAGCGAGAGAGAAAGAAAAAGAAAAAGAGAGAAAAAAAAAGAAATCTTATAAACAACTGCGGAGCTCTCTTGGGTCGCGCTTGGGTTCGGGAGCTGCTTTTCATGTGTCGCACGTTGTGCTCGGCTTAATTATCGTTTTCTCAGACGCATCGAACACGTCGTTGCGTTAATTAAAATCCTTGTTTTATTGATTATTTTTTGAAGATGTTACTTTCGTGTTATTTTAATTTTTTTTTTGTAGCAAAGCTTTTTTTTTTTATTACTTGTTAATTATTGAGCATATTTTTTCCGATTCGATCGAAGCTAGAGAATAATATATTCCGTTAGCAAAACGTAACGGAACCATAATTTTGTTTTTTTCTTCTTTTTCAACGAGAGAAGCTTAGCTGAGAGACTTTAACATTATTTCTACGTGTAGTTGTGAGAGATTTCGTAATGAGCAGAATTATGAAAACACGTTCACGGACGATATATTTCATCTAAAACTGGCGATCTCGGTCGGATTGCCATAAATCGCTGTTACTCGTGATTACATTTTTATGTTAAAAGGAGTCTTTTATTCAGAGAGTTTGAAAGGAGCGATCGCATAACGTACACGCACATCATCTACATACCGATGCGGAGAACTAACTAACTATTTCTGCAGAACGTTCCTTTTTAATTATTCTCGATTATAAATGTGCGTTTTAAGCTAACACACACACATACGCACCGAGTGAAATAGATAAGGAAAATATTTTCATTGGTTTAGCATTAATCGGTCGGAAAATATAAACTCCGTCTCTACGTTACACTAAGCGGCTGCAAATAACGCGCGTTGTATGCAAATTTATGTTGGACGCGCACCGGGTCAAATGCCATCTAGGTCGCGGGGCTGTTTTGAATTTCTATTCGATTAAGTGACGATCGAGAATGTGTTCGGTATCAATCGACTCGATCGATCGGCCGTGCGCGATCACATTTTTTTTTTTTTATATTTAAAAAAATAATAATAATAAACTACAAAAACACTCGTTAATCTTCCAACCGATACACAGCACCTGCCAACGGCACGTATCGCGTTTTCTCGATCTTCCTCTTCATCATTCGGGGCGCAAATGATACATTACGGTTCTGATTTATTAATGCGGCGGAGGATGTATTTTAACGGCAAACCTTCCAGGGTAACGTAACAAGCAGACGCTCTTGCGTATTTAAGATCCACAAATCTTTTTTGGAAAAAAATCTCTTAAGTTGTTTAATTATTGTTTGTTTATTAGAATTGTTTAAAACAAATATGTAAACAGCATCTTCCAGTTGTATTCACATTTTTTCGAAGTAATCCTCTTTTAATTATTTGCGAGATAGAGCAAATGTTTATTTGTTCCGCATACTTTCATAAACAAAAAACAAAAAAAAACAAACAAACAGTATATTAGTTGATACAAATTTTCAGGTCGATTATTTACTCGACACCGACCCGTGCAAAACGTCGTTCCTACGAAACTGCGCGCCCCGTTAAAATTCCGCTCGCGTAACGTGGTTTATGCGCCGTTGGCACGTGAATTTTCAATAGATCGTTTTGCGCCCACCGCTCGCGTACGTCACGACTCACGACGCTTACAGCAGGACGCTTATCTTTAGACTATCGGCTACGTGGTCGAGCACAATTTTCGAGACGTTTCTCGCATTCGTCGCCTCTTGGCTCGTTGCATCTTTTCGCAAGCTCCGACCGAAAAATGAATTTTGTTTTGGCACTTTTACGCGAACTTTTTCGACTTTTCAATTTTCTCAACAAAAACGTGTGAAACGAGATTTACACACTCGACCCGCGTACGTCGATCGTTTAAATAATTATACACGTCACTGAATCTCTCACTCTCTTTCCCTGTGTAGACAACGTTTTGGAATATAAAAATAAAAATTAATAAAGTTTTATAAATTATTTCTGATCGAAAGTTAAGCAAATTCGCGATGACGAAGGGGAAACGCGTGTAAGGGGACCACGCGTTTGAAAAATCTCATAAAACTCGGGACATATTTTTCAGTTTAATGCGATGCATTGCTTCGATTCCTACGAATAGAATTTCATATCGAGATTGAGGGTTTAATATCATATATTAGACACAAACGCGCACCTCGAAGCGCGGAATAAACAAAGTAACGACGACGACGATGACGACGACGACGACAACGACGACGACGACGACGACGACGACGACGATGCACCTGCCTACTCCGGACGGCAGTTGCACCCCTCTTTATGACGATGCTATCTAAGATGGCTATGTGTGCTCCCTTCGCTTCGTAGCTTCGCTTCGTAGCTTCGCTTTTGCTCGCTTCGCCGTTGCTGGTAGCCGCGACACCTGACGCACGTACGTAAACGCGCGCGCACGTACATGCACACACACACACACACGTGCGACGTACACGCGGCTTGCACGCGCACCTTCTCGCCTGTGAGAAGCAACATTAACCTGTCTTCTCACACATGGAAAGTGATGTTGTATTTCTTGTTTTGACGTTTTAAAATTCTTTGCAATTGCATTTCGACCGTTGAAGGCGGTGGAAATGCACGGAATAAGACGTAAATTAAATGATATCTCGAGACAAGATACCTTTCTTTTTCTTCTAGTTCCCGAACAATTTCTGTTAATCCAATAAGACATCTCGATCAAGAGTTAAAAAAGCAATTTTAATTTTTTACTTCAAAGTGTTTTTTTTTTTAAATAATTGTATGGCATTTTCTGTTTTCTTTTTCCAGATATACCGGCGCAAGTGCCGCCATTAACACCGGGGACCAACAAGAAGATGACCGAGGCTCTGGAGGCCTCCTTCGCATCTTGGGAAAAGGAACGACTGCGCTTGAACATAACTAAAGGTCAGGATTCGTATTCGTCATCTTATTTTTGTTCCAAGATCCACTACAAGTGTGCGATTATATGTAATTAGTCCCTCGCCATAAAATCCGCTCGGCGGCGTCACGTCGAAATTCACAATCGCGAGAATCGACTTATCGGCACAAAAAACTGTCGGAGTCGGTGGAATTTATTCATCGCCTCGCCGTTGTTCAAGTTGTTGAAAAATCGCTGCCGAGAGCGGCGAAGCGAAGGGTGAGAGGACGCACACACGCGCAATATACGTGCGCACCTATTGCTTTTGCGTGCATACGCGCGTGCGTGAGAGACGCGCGTAGACACGGAGACGACGCGGGTGCGCGCGATGTGACGCGATGTGCGACGAGGCGATGTGCTGCGACGAAGCGATGTGCAGGAATTGTGAATGTGATGTTGATGGTTTTGATGGGGAGCCGATGCCACACATCCGGTATGCGCATTCAGAGCCACGCGGGTGTGACGTTACTTCCGGTCTACATGCCCTGGGTTCGTACCCTCCAGGCCAGATCACCTACAGTCTGACCTCCGTGAACCTAACGAACCACCTCCTCTCCTTTCTCTTTCTGTCTCTCTTTCTCTCTCGCGTCATTTCACTTGATGTGTTTCGGTCTGAGACCGCCGCCACGTCTCGCGTCTGTGCTTTTTTTTTATTTCTGCGGATTGGTAAGTTTCTTTTTTCGTACTTCTGTGTGTTTCCGATTGTTCACAAAAAATAAAATTCACGCATCATCATTCGAGGATAGTTAACTCAGAATGACGTTTTACTTTTTTGTTGTTTTGAGATGATGTTTAAATGTACTTTGCGCGTTTAAATTGTTTTTACATTGATACAAATGTTTTTAAAGCAAGAGATAAAAGGAAAAAATCAAACTTTGATTAAAATTTAAGAAGCAAAAGTCTGTCTATCCGAGAGAAAGAGAGAGAAAGAGAGAAAGGAGGGACGACTCCATAAATAATTAATAAAATTCGAAAAATCTTTAGAGTAAGTATTGTTACATTGTCTGTGTGCGTGTGTCTGTATGTGAGGGTGTGTACGTAGGTACTACGTACTACTATGGCGAAGACATTATACTATGGAGAGGACGCAGCGTGCATTCACAATTACGTTCTGACGCGTCATATCGCATTCGCTATTATGACTTATTCAGAATCTATCCCTCTTTGGAATAATAAATACGAGCGGGATTCTTGTTCGTGTTATAAAGATAAATATTTCTACGAAATGTGAGTTTCGAAACACCTCTCGGGTACATTAACACAACAGACGATACGTTGTCGGATACGTTGCATTCGAAGTATCACGAAACGAGTGGTTTTTATTTTCGATTTTGTGAAAGACGCTCTGAAAAAATGTCGAAAAGATTGAACAATTTTTCGTTTCTTGATCAATTTCGCAATAAATCTGTGTTTTAATTCTGTTACTTCAAGCGTGACACGTTGTGACAGATGTGGACGCATTGTCAGAAAAACAAAAATCGCGCCTGCAGGTATCGACTTTCGATACGTTTAAATGATTAAAAAAAAAAAAAAAAAAAAGCGAAAAAACAGAAGGAAAACTGAACGAGACTCAAACACTAGTGAAAGATTATCCACGTACGCGCAACAGTTGACTGTTGGCGAAACAGAAACGTGCGCGTGTGTGGAATCGGCGCATGCGCCAAGGGGGGTTTGCGTTCAAATGCGAAGCGAGAAAGAGAGTGTAAAGTCTGCTAACAACGCTGACAAGAAATAAGTTGAGCAAATATCAATACCGATCCTCAAACAGAGTCGGCCGCTTTGAACCCGTGCCGTTAACACTCTCTCTTGTCGCCTCAGTGTACGTGCGCTGCTCGCTCATTTCTTTTTTTTTTTTTTTTTTTTTTTTTTTTATATTTATATNTTTATATCTTATTCCACACAAAAGACAGACGTCAATTCAGTTCGCGCGCGCTTGATTTACAAACAATATGTTCTTCCTCCCGTCACGTCACTTCCATTTGTTGAATCAATTCAAATCTTTCTCATTAAACGATCGCGTGATATTAAAACTTTTTAATCAAAACATTTGATTTTGAATTTTACAAATAAGTTTACTTTGTTTTTTCTTTTCTTCTGCGATACTTTTTTTTTTTTTTAACCATCTTACGTATCGCGGAATTTCCCGCAATCTTTGCAAAGACGAAGATCCATCTCTCCCGCTTGCTAGCATTTAAAAAGACGACTACGAAATGCTCGCGCGAGCAAAAGCTACATATACATCGGCAAGTCGCTACGTTAGCAACTTCTGTTTGCGTTATGAGCCGAACTGTACTTTTACGCGGAGAGATACCACGAAACAATGCGGAGAGACACGCGTGCAAATATGGGCGCGCACCTCAAATGGGACATTCCAATGTTTCTCGGTATTGTTTCTACCAAAGATGGGAACAGACTCATCTCCATGTCAAACGGAAAACCGTGATAATGATATCACTCTGTTCGTTCTTAACGAGCTCGCATTATGATTAATGAGATGTCTATGAAAGAGAGACTAGATAATGTACATATATAAGCTCTTGAATAATCTAACTCCATAATGGAAAAAAACATTTCAGAAAAACACACGACAAATGGATTTAAAAGATCAATCATTTAGTATTGTCAGTAGTTGTCTAGTTGTTCTGGAGCCGTTTTTTTTTTTTTTTTTTTATCTTTCTGAATAAATCGTTATCTGAGATTAGAAACAAAAGATCTTTAGAAAGGTCTCAAAAAAAAAAAAAAAAAAAAAAATTAAGCGATTGAGTTATCTATAGCGATAATAAAAGAATATTTTTCAAAACTGAATATTAAAGGTCACGTCTAGATGTTTGTGTTTGCAAGTAGCTAACAGTTGTAAGAATTTTTGTAATTTTTGACTAAATATATTATTACGTAATGAGGTTCGAAGACCCTTTGAAAAAAAATCGACTTTCGTCTGTATCTTCCAGATAAAAACGAACTCCCTTAAATTATTGAATAGATAAGATTGCCTCAAGTTTTGTTCTCAGAATAGTTGAAGAACGAGTTGATCTTTTACTTTTCAGATCCGAGGCAATGGTCGGAAACAGCTGTTGCTCATTGGCTGCACTGGGCTATCAGGGAGTTCTCCCTGGAAGGTGTGGCGATGCAGCCGTGGCAGCACATGACCGGGAAACAGATTTGTGCCATGGGGAAAGAGTCCTTTCTAGCACGTGCCCCCAGCTACACGGGCGACATTCTTTGGGAACATCTCGAGATCCTGCAGAAAGGTGAATGTCACTCCATCTCGTAGAAATACTTAACAATTTTCGAATATTTTAAACCTAATTTTATATTTTAAGTTCCTCTCTACTTGCGCGCGTTGTAAGATAATTCGAAGGAGAACATCGTTCTAGTCTCTACAAAAGCTTTTGTGCGTTTTTAATCGCGAGAGTTTTTTTTTTTATTAATCTAGAGGTACAATTGTACAAGTTGCGCAAAAACCATAAACAATCAGAGGATTCCGCGCATTATAATAATCGCGCAAGAAGTTCTCGTCGCGCGCGCGCGCGCTGCGCTCTTTTTGCGGTGAGGTGGGCGCGCGCACCATCTTAGTACGACAATACCGATCGAATTTCCGTAAAATCGCGATGTCACGGCGCAGCTCCTCGTGCTACACGAGCAAAAAGACACCGGCGAACAATGACGAACGGGCGTTGCGCGCGGGTGATGGCCATCTTTCTCTCTCTCTCTCTCCCTTTTTCTCCTTCCCCATATCTCCCGTTTCGTAGCGTTGAATCGAATCTCCGCGTTTTTACCTCGCGCACGAGAAGAGAATGAGAAGGAGAAAGACGGAGCGCACGCCATAGAAACTCTTATCCCGGATATCCTGCGCGGCCGCCAAAAACGCGCCATTGCCGCGGCCACTTTAGACGCATTTCGGGAGGGATATATACTCGTGCGCACCAAAAAGAATTCACTCGAATTTCGATCTCACGTCCTGGCACCGTCAATGGCCTCCGGGAGGAGGAGGAGACTCTGGACGCGGGGTGCGTTTTTCCCTTCCTATTAAATCCCTCGTGCTTCTTTTATACGGTGAGCGCGCGCGCGCGCGCTGAAAACAAGTCAAGTTCACGGAAAAAATACTCGCTCGATCGTTTCATAGGATTTGACAAAGCCGGAAAAATTCAAGGGGAAAAACTATCTCCCTGTATAGAAATACACTTCGCGTGGAATAGAATAGACTGGAACAAGTGGAAAAACAGCGCAGGTGTAGGAAAAAGAGAAGGTTCTAGATCTAAATTGTTTATTAAATACAATAATTATTTATCGTTTTAGTGTAAAAAGACGTAATACACACAAAGCGAAAAAAAAAAATATAAAAGAAAATTAATTAAAAAACTCGAAAAAAAAGGATAGGGAATTGTAAGAAAAATTAAAATAATTCAGAAGTGAAAAAAGGGAGAGTTCGGAAAAATGTAGAAAAAAAAAAAACGAAGAGAGAAAAGCGAAGAGTTATAGATTTAGATCGTACGAAATGATGAGACAGGAAGCGGAGGTTCGCGCTCGTGATTTAACTCCCGTTAAGTAAAACCCCCGTACTTCCTTATCGATTATTCATGTTGTCTCATCATCGGCACCGAGGGACCCGGAGGCTTAATCGACTAGTGCGATCTAAGGACGTTTACTGCTAACGGTATCCTCTCCACAAAACCCCGAGAGATTCGTCTCGAATACGTAATCTCGCTCGCGTCGAAAGGGAGCGTTTAAGATAAAAGCGCGCGATCATGGCGGAATGGCGTTTTTCTACGAATAAACCACATGTTATTCACAAAACAAACTTCCGATCGGATGAAAATTAAATAAATCTGTTTTGTCCGATTTAAATTACTTACGACACCAAGTTTGTTACAAGATCGCGATGAAATATGTTCGTAAAAACTCGAGCTTCTAACAAAATATTTTGACAGAAATGTATTTCAAAATATATTAAATATTTTTTAAATATATATTTTTTTTTTTAAAACAAAGAGAGAAGCTTTAAAATGTTTCTCTTAATTTTTAGGATTCTTTTGCACCGGTTGTAGCGTGACTGTCGCTACAACAGGTCGTGTATTTCGTTATCCGCGTTTTTTTACTGAAAAAAGAAAACAAAATAAAGTGAAATGCGTGATTTCGCGGACGGTGAAGGCAAAAAAAAAAAGAGAATCGAGATAAAAATCGTCGTCTTTGTGTTTTCCACATTCCGGGGTATGCGATTCATTATCGTGCTATGATTGTGAACGATGTTACATGTCGCCGCATGATCTCCCTCCTCCTGTGACGACTGTCGCGGGGCAACGGTAATTTAACTGAAGCCTAGCGTGTGCGCGCCCGACTACTCGCGACACGACGACGCGGGTAATCGCTTTGATTCTGCGAATGAGAACGGATGTGTTAGGAAACGCGCTCTTGCGTTGTAAAAAAAAAAAAAAAAAAAAAAAGTAGAAACTAAAAAGCTGCATCTTCCTGTCGCGGGGCGATACCTATCGGATTCACGGTTGAAATTCATTAATGCCCGCGCGTTTCGCCATCGCCGAAACGGATAAATCGATCTCTTTTGTGTGCCGCGTCGCATCGAGATCTGGAGTTGATCGATGAGTTCCGCGCGCAGATTTTTTCTCGCACTTGATCACCGCCACGCGCGAAAGAAGTTTTAATTTTCCCTAAAAGCGCGTGTTTTTGGTTCAACGTTGACGAGAGAACCTCTCGCGAAATCGAAAATTCTGATGAAACTTTGTAGAGGGAGAAAATAGTCGAATGTAGAAATTTTCAGTTGCTACCCAAAAACGATTCTAAGGGGTGAGACTATCTTTCATAAAAAAAAAAAAAAAAAAAAAAAACAGTTTCTGGCGGTTCACGTCTTAGAATCGCTTTTGGGAAGCAACTGGAAATTTTTGCATTCGTCTATTCACCTCTTCTACATGACTACAAGGTTTTATCGAAACCAGAATTTCGCGAAGTTCCCACGTGAGAATAAAATTGTCGTCAATGACGGGCGAAAATAACGCTCACATATCGCAACCGAGGATTATTTGCATATTAAAAGCAAAGCGGTGTAAGAAAGTTACAAAAACGTGAGGAGCGTTTCTTGGCACGTATGTAGGTTTTGCGCGCGTGCACACACACACACACACACACACACATTTTTAGAGACTACAACTGTTCGACGCGAATTTCCTAGAAACGTTAAAAACAGCGGTTGATGATGAATCACGGCAAGCTACTCCTTCGCAATAGCACGGTCGCGATGATGATAGTGCTACTTCAGATCGTTAATCACGATTACAGTCGCGCGATGCGCGCAACGATCGCGGCTTATACGGGGGGGTGGGGGAGGAAGAGTGTTATACCTTAATGACAACATTGTAACATTTGTTGTTGGCGTAATCAACACGCACTGAGAAAAAAAATACCATGAGACGCACGCGCCGATTGCAGTATTTCGATAAGTTTTATCTGTTGGATTGTTTACGTTTCGGCGTGTAAGTCTCTTTTTCTTGTAAGAAAAACGTACTTTGATAAGACAAAAATAACAAACCCACAAAATAAAACACGATAATAGATCGTTGTTAGTGTTCGGAAAACTTGCGAAGCGAAATCACATTTGTTTAATGTTCCCGCAAGTGTATCGGCGTTCGTGATTGATTAATTAGGCAGTTAATGAGACAGACGCGGCGATTAGCTCTCTAGACGCGCAATGTATGCAGATCGGTTGAGGATTTTATCTCCGTTTTACATTCAGATGTCGACGCAGCAAAGGCCTCAGTGGAGAACGTGCCGGCGAACTTGTATGAAAGTGTATGCGTGCCAGATTTAGGTGATTTTTTGGCGTACCAGAGCGGCGGTCATCACGTGACACCCACGGAGCATAAAAATCCTCCGTCTACGCCGGTCGGTTCAGTCACCAATTCCTCCGGTCCTCCTCAGAGCGCTACGCAACCCCCGGTACAACCCTCTTCGGGCGCGGTCTCTCTGCCCACGAGACAGTATCATAACGACGGTAAGTCCATATTTTAACTACTCCTGTGTGAATTCAAAAAATTGGCGCGTTCTTTCAAATTTCGTACATGCTACGTTTTTGTTTCTGCAAATTTTTAAATACGATCTTCGGATATTGTTTTCGATACTTTCTTCAAAACGAACAATTGGCTGAAAAAAAAACGGGGAAGGGATGAGAGAGAAAAGTCACGCGAAAGTCGTTTGTAAAATTAAAGAACGCGCGTAGAAGACTACATTTTTGTCGTTTTCAACGAGCAACCGACAGATAGTCGTAATTGGTTGTTTCCTCCATTTCTCCGCACCCTCCCTCCCTTCCTTTCCTTTCTCGATACCGATAACTGCTCGCGTGCATACGCAAGTGACTGCTAAATTACCGCGACAAGCCGGTTTTATTTATTTCTCCGATTGCGAGTATATATACAAACGAAAGCGTGGAGGAGTTTCTCATTGTTACGTCAGATCGGCTGATAACATCTCTCTCCAGGTTGGCGCGTTTGCACGTGTTGCAAACACAAACCCCTCATTATCGTCACCGTTCGTTTCTCATTTAACGTTTTTCTTCATCGTCATCGTCGTATACCCCGGGTGTTCCCCCGCGTGACAAGTCGCGATTTCACCGACGCGTCGCGAAATCGAATCGCGTCAAACGTCTGGTCGATCCCAGAACGTATTCGCGATATATGAAGAGAAAGATGAGCCATAATTTACAAAGTGCGATTTGCGTTGTATTGAAAATTTTTCGCGTTCAATTATCACAACGTTACGTTGTCGACAATAAACTTACTTTTTTGTGTCAAGTTATTAAGTAAATTATTATTATCGCCTGAATATCTCTTGCGTTCGTATCTTTATTTCCGTTCGTTACTTAATTCTCGCGGATCTGGTCAGATGATACGTTATTAGTTGAACTTGAAAGGTTTTACTCTCCATTATGTAGTTCGCACTCTTGAAATCTCGGAAAATACGTCGCGCTATACATAATGTGCTGTCTGAATAACAAACGAACTATCCCACAATCATGCGCGATAGTTGCGAGGAGCGATAACGATCGCGCACATATGACGCAAGCCGGCACATTCAAACTCCATTTTTGTTTCTATCTCGAGCCGGAGTGTATGAATAAATTCTCTCACTGAGCTATTCTATTCATTCAGAACCCGCCGCCGATCTCTCATCTATCGCGCGGCGCGGCTTCTCTCTATTGTTGATTTCTGAAATGAAGAAATTACATTTGTGAAGATAACGCGCGCGCGTTAAAAAATTTCGCAAAACGCGCGGTTTTATTTTTTCATCGCGCGAGCTTCTTCATTTTTTTTAAACGAGACAACGCGCACAGACTTGAAATTATATTAATTTCACAACAATCGTGACGTGTGCAACACGCGTTGTGCAAATACGAACTCTCCGCGCGTTTCGCCAACGTGTGCTCGAACTAAGGATCGTATTGTTCGTCGGTCGCGAGGTTACGTTGGTTTTAATTTCTTTACGACACATGAAACGAGAGTGAAAATCTCGCTCGCTAACGCAACGTTCGAGGTGTTGCACCTTTTGAAATTTTTGCGAACAAGCGCGCGTCGCAAAACTGACACCGTTGTGTTCGATTATTACCGTGATCATTTTTTTTTATTTTGGCTTCGACCGAGTTTTGTTGTACTTTCGCCGAGGCGAGACTTTAGCCCGGGCGGCCGTTGTAAGATCGTTCACATGAATTGACGGTTTCGATTCTCTTCAAGTGCGCGTTGCGCAACAACCACTTCGTAGGTATAAAAAAAGTTGAAACTACAATTTTAGATTGTGAAAATCGCAGATTCGAATAAATATTTCTGTATTATAGTTTCGAGACGTAACAAGCAAAACAGGGGGAAGCTTCTCGAAAGCGGCGGGAGTGCATGCACGCGTTGTCCTTTCGCTGTTTGCGATTGCGACATAAAAGCCGAGGCATCGAAAAGTCTCGCGCAGATTGCAAATTGAAAACTGCAAGTAAACCTGCAATTTTGCTCACGCGTGCGCACACGCGGGTTTTTATCAATGGACGATAATCCGGAGCTCCGGTGTCGTTCCGTAATCCGTGCATGTATATATGTGTATGTATAAAAGTACGCATGTGTGTCGTCCGTGCAATCGGGTGCGTTGATGTCGGACTGTGGAAGCACGCGCAATAGAAACGATGGGCAGAATAGAATGAAGCGGGCGGGCGGGGCGGTGCGGAGAGTGTAGGATAGAAACACTACGAAGCGAGTCTTCGTACACACATACAGCCGCCGCCGCCGCCGCCGCCGCCGCCGACGCCGCATAGGTAACAATTACCCTAGCAAGAGGGGCCTTACGTCACCGCAGCAGTGACCGTGGGTGAACGAGGGAAAGTCGGGCCCTCTACACGCTCCGCCGCGGACAATAGAGACGATTCGCCGGCTCACGCCGCGCGCTCGTCTGTCTACCACTACTCGAATAAACCGCGGTATGTACGTGTACACGTGTACGCGCACGCACACGCTTACAAGCTTAATGAACGTGCTCGCGTATTCCGATTTCAATCGCGCTCGTCTACATGGAAGAGAGAATGAAATCCGGTGTGAATTAGAACCAATTGAAAATCAAGTATTCAACGGTTTTAAACGCAGTAAGAATAAGGCCGCGAGATTTTACGCAGATCGCCGCGTTAATTGCGCAAATTTAACAGTCGAATTAAAAGTAATTCGCAAATTACTTTTCAGTCTCTTACTCTTCAGCTTCTTGAATCTGTATCTCCTTTGTGTGTGTATGTGTGCGTGTGTAAATACATGTGGCAGATTTATCAACAAATATTTTGCCAAAAAATAAAAAAATTATTTTGCTATACTTTGTGGAGAAGAAAAAAACAAACACCTACATCGAAAAGAAACGATAGCTAAGAACTTCGACGGCCTTCAAAATGTATGCATTATCGAACAGACAGATACATATGTCCGTGCGACCACACCGAGGAATTCTCCGAAAACTTGGCGTACGCGTCTTACGGGGACGGGCTTCTTCGTTACAAAGAGCGCGACCGACATACAGACAGACGTCTGACGTATAATAGACTCGGTTTATTTTCTGCTTGCTAAAGCACTGTTACGTTATGTATCACGGCTCTTCGAGGTTTCTGGTTCGACTCTCGCTTATATCTTCGCTTTCGACCTCCTCGTCTCGGAACCGCGGCCGCATCGCGCCGTTGTAATTTAGAATCGAGAGTGCAATTTTTTTTTGCGGCAGTATATCTGCTTACAAAATAACTTTAAAAAGTAAATTAAAATTTTCTGCGATGAGACATTAACAGAGTTTAGCGTTTTTTTTTTTTTTTTATTTTTTTTTTATTAATCATGTTGCCACAAGTGAAAAATAAAAAATTTCAAAGATGCGTCGCAGTGTCTTCCAGAAATGTAATAAATTTAGATTTTTTCCCGTTACTCGCAGAACTGTAAAGAGCTTGGTGGAAGGTGTGGGATCTTTCACATCTCCCCTTCGTCTTCGTTCTCTCCCTCGGGAATAATTTTGAGGATGCACGTCGATCGTAGCGCGTGCTGTCTGTTGAGGAGGACAAGCGCGTAGCTTGTCGCGCGCACTCATCGCTTCGTGTCACGTATCGCGCGCGGCGCGCACGTGCACGGATCCACAAACACGCGTAGCGCCTGTGTGCGCTTGCATATTATGCATAAATTAGCGGAGACGAGAAAGACGAGGCGAGAGGCTCGGGGAGAAGCTCCCTGTGCGCCAAAAACGAACACCCGCCGCCGCGTGTGGCGCGTTTTACCGACCATATACATTTGCGCCCAAAAAAGGAGCGCGATATATTCGTGACGTCCATTGATAGCATTTATGGACGGACGAGAGGTTGGTTAATCGCCGCGGCGAATACAATGATCGTTTGTTAGGCAACCTTCGCGCGTTATAAACTAACGACGAATACGAATAATTCTGTGTCCTGCCTGGTTTTCTTTCTTTTTCTTTCTACCCTCGTTCGACTCCAGAGACCGTATCTATGCGGAATCTTCCGCGCGTGCGCCGAAAATATTAAATGACAAAGCGACACCAAGATTTAATCGTTTTTTTTTTTCGAGGAGAAGTGTGCGTTCGAATATTGTTTTGCGAAGAAGAAGAATATTGTTCAGATAAGAAATACATTCGAACATTTATTTTTTTCTCTTCCCTCTCTCGATCTCGTTGTTCGTTTTTTTTTTTTTGTTACTCGAGATACAAAAGCGTATCGCAAATATTCTCGCTCGATATTCTGCGCGCGACGCACTCGATATACAATAACTGTAGTCGCGAGACTCGATGTATATTTGCGCGATCGATAGCGATCGATCTTTTCAAACTTGGCTCTGGGAAGCCTTTTGCGCAATCTAATGCAATCTAATGTGTCGCGCTTTGTTGTGTTGTTGCGCGAATGAAACGCACATTGTGCTACTGCAAGATATTGCACGAAGAAAACGCGTAGTTTAATAAAGAAGAAAATCGACTGGAGGGTTGGTGGAACGTGAGGACTCGTGTGTGCGGGGATGAAGCGGGAGTAGGAAAAAGGGAATATAAAAGGGCGCGCCGAAGGTACGCCGGGAGGAAAGGAGGGGTAGTTGGCACAGGTTGTATTCATTCATTCGTTCATTCATAGTTCGTACACCGCCTCGAGGGTCTACAAAGCCTCTTGCTCATTCAGAACTCGTGACACGACCGTGTGGCATATAGCAACGCGCGCGCATGTGTGTGCGTGCGCGTATGCTGCTGTATATATATATATACATATGTACACACGTTCGTGTGTGTATATATATATATATATATGTTTTTTTTTTCGTCCTTTCTTTCCTCCTCGCGCGTATCCTCCTTCTCCTCTCTCGTCGCCGTCATCGTCGTGGTTATCGTCAAGGTTTTCGTACGCACACGCCATGATGAACGTAAGGTAAATATACGAACCGCCGGAAATAGAAAACTGTGTTCCTTCTACAAATGGTATAACTGTTTCAAAGTGAGAGAGAGAGAGAG